AAGGAGGTATTTTGATATTTGATGGCACAATGAGTTGGCCATCTTTGACGAGTAAATCAAAAATCTCGTCACACTTGGTTACATCGAAGGTATAAACCTTCTTTGGAAATTTGTCACTTTTCTCATTTTCAACAATTTCTTTCCCTTTTGTGGGAACTAATAACTTACAAGAGTAAGGTGGAGCCTGTTTTAATTCAGCGAGATCAATTTCGACCTCTTCGAATTCAGGGTAATCTTATGCTTCCTCAGCTCCAACATAGGAGACCCTTTCTTTCTTGTTATTTTTAAACACTCTGGCCTTTTCGGCCTTTAGCCTTTCGACCTGTCGAACCCTATCGGCTAATTGAGCCATATCCCTCAAGTATTGTGTGTCTAATTTCTTTCGAATAGAGTAATCCAGGCCGCCAGCAGCCATTTCGACTAACTCATGTTCAAGAACTACTGTAAAGTATCTAGATTTCAAGAGCCTGAATCTATTCAGATAATCATCTATGGGTTCAGTAAACTTCCTCTTGACACTGGCTAGTTCCTTCAGACTTATTTTAGATTGTCCCATGTAGAACTGTTCATGGAATAATCTCTCCAACAGAGCCCAAGTATCTATGGACCCAGGAGGTAAAGTGGTGAACCATGTGAAAGCGTTCTTAGTTAGGGAACTTGGGAAATATTTGATCCTAAGGTCTTCATTATTTGCTATATCTCATGCTTCGGTTAGATACCTGGCTATGTGTTCGACTGTTGATTCATTGGTATCTCCAGCGAACTTTGTAAACTTAGGGACTTTATATCCCCTTGGTAAATCAATGTGCATTATGTAATCTAATATAGGAGAGGCATAATTTGGCCTTCTAATTCCTGTGTTGAGGCCATTATGGGCCATGATTCTCTCTATCATGGTGGTTAAATTATTTTCGGCCAAGATGTTATCATTTCGAATTCTGTGAACGACTGCATCAGCATCTTGATTTTGACCCACCATGACAACTCCTCTAGGCTGTTCTTCTCGAAACTCTGGGACTTCTAGCCTTTCGATCCTTGCCCCTGGTTCCATAATTTCCCTTTGTGGGCCTTGAATCATTGGGGCTTCTAACCTTTGTGCCATTGCCCCCAAATTAACCCCCTCTCTGGTTGGTCTATAGGGTGGGTCCTCAGCAACTTGTTCTATGATAGGTACATTTGCTCGAACTCCCGCCTGATTCTGCCTACGCCTTTCTGGGGGAGCTAAAAAATCTGCTATTCGACTCATGTTATCCGCGTTTTCTCTGTTTGTCACAGTTACATTTTGTACTATTGGGGCAAAGATCTCCTGCATAGTATGTGCTAATACCCCTATCATATTATGGTTACTGTCATCCATTAATTGCCTAAAGGCCAACTGATTTTCTGTGGTTAAGATAGGCATTGCACTATAACCCACTGACCCTTGGTTATTTGTCATAAATTGATTTGCCTCAGACCCAGACCCTAATTGTGGTGATGTATTCGATGTCGAAGTGTGCAGACCCGCCATAAAAGATGTTGGCATCCCATAAGAGGAATTTCTGTATCTGTTAGCATCGAACCCAGGTGGTCTAGTTAGTGGGGTGGCGAAATGGGTTTGTGTCCCTGATGGTGGGACGAATCCCCCAGGATAACCAATGGTTCCAGTATTTCCTAGGATCGAACTGTTAGTTGACATGCCACTTGTTCCATTAGTGGCTACACTACTGGTAGAAGATGCAACAGACTGTGCGTTCGAAGGGATCGCATTAGATGTTCCCATCGAAGCGGACATATTAGTGCCTGTTGTATGTGGGATATTTTGTTCCCCTTGTTGATTGTCTGGATTAGACATTTTGTTTAAACGTTTTCTTCTGGGTAAGGGTTGGTTGCTATTGGTTATTCTACCACTTCTAAGGTTCATATAACAACGAACTTATCACTCAGAAAGTACTTTTACAATGGTTATGTCTCAACAATTTTTACTTTGTTCTAAATTTCGTGATGACCAATGACTGTCCCATCAGGTGTGCCAATTTGTTTACAGTAATTTCTGGTAAACAACCGCTAGTCCTCCAAACTATCAAATAATCTTAATGACTGTTATTTAATCTCTCTGGTAACTTGCAAGATCGACTAGATTGATCCTATGGTGTATTGGTCGTTTGGATAATTCTCATTATAGAACTGATATTCATGGTTGGTATTTAGAATATTGTGTAGGTGTTCAACTTACTTCGATTACCATATTAAAGATCTAATGACATGATCAAGTAAATACGTGCGAAACTAAATTGCATGAATAAAGGTTCAATTGTAAAGACATGTAAAACTGCAAGAAACAAGTAAATAACTTCGAAGTATAAAAGCATGTAATGTAAAAGATTTTCTGGAATGTAAAAGACTCGAAATATAAAGAAAGCGTTTAAATGCAAGAAATCAGTAAAATGACTTTGAATGAAAAAGGTATTCGAATGATAAAAGCATGAAGATAACAGCATAAAAGGTATAAGAATTTCTGAAATGTAAAGTACTCGGAATAGAGGGAAAGACTTTTAAATGCAAGGAATCAGTAGATGACTTTGAATGAAAAAGATTTTAATGTAAAGGCTTTTGAATGATATTGACATGAAGATAGAGGATAAACTGGAAATGATAAAGAGTTTTGCTGAATCATAAACATTTGGTGTTATCATACGTACATTGTTCGAGCATTCATTTTCCTAGCCATGTGGTATTTTGAATGTTTACTGAATTTTGTACAATAGATATGACACACGAAATCCTAACGCTAAGACTTCTATTTATACTACTTCGACCATAACGGTCTTGCCTATAAGATTATGCCACGTTCAGAACATGCAAAGCACTGCCCTTCTCTAGTTTCCACGTGTCTTCGAATGCTCGAGCGCATATATTTTAAATTTCAAACATCCCGCTTGCGTTTGAATTTCAAATGTTTTGGCACTCTTCGCTTCGAACTCATTTCTTGGACACAGCCTTGTTACCACTTCGAGACTTCTTTTGAATATATCCCCATAACTGTCACTCGAAGCTCCGGGCTTTGACATGCCCATTCGAAGCACTGCTTCTACCATTTCGAAACATGACATCTTATTTTATTCCAACGAAACATCCAACTTGCTTCGCTTCGAACAGTATCATCAAAATCTTCAGCCAACAGCCGCAAGCTAGCATCAACAATAAATAACGTCAGAAGCGTGAACAATAAGTGCGAGCAAAACGTATCCGTCACCAAAGCAATTGGTATCTAACTTGTTTCTTAAAATATACACATCTCACAAAATTTGTTAGTAGATAACAACAAAATCAAATGTGATAGTAACAATTAGAAATATGCGCAAAAATGAAGTATGAATATGTATAAGGCAAAACAAATAAGTCAAAAGTGCATAACTTAGCATTCCGGACAACAACCTCATATTCAAGACAAATAGGTGCAAAAATCGATTTAGAAACACCCAAACTTGTTACCGATATCAAAGAAATCCTTAAACAAATACAACAATTTATCATTCGCAAGTCAAACTCAATGCACATGTACAATGCAAATTCTGGACAACATTACGTGCATTTTGAAATTTATCATGAATCGATTTGAAAATCAAAGCTTTAGTCCGCTAATCTTACATATTAGCATGATAAAGTTATTCGAAACTTGCATATGAACATGTAACCTCAAGATTGATCTTAAATCAAGAATTAAAGTCTTAAAACCACATGAATTTAATGTATCAGAATTTAAACAACAAATTGTGAATTAAGTCAAATTCACGAGTTTATGTATTTATGCCAAAAGTGCGATGAATATGAATCAATTTCCAATTTATGAAGTTTAAAAGTTATGAACCAAAAATTATTATGATGCGCTAAGTTCACCAAAATTTCTCAAGCAATTAATTAAACCAAATGATATTACTTGCATCAAAGTAAGAATTAACAAAAAGTATCACAATTCAAAAGAAAAAAACACAAGATAATGTACAAAAAAATTTGAGTCGGAAGATTAGAAAATTAATCGAAAAGCATCCGGAATCAATCGCAAAAATTATGACGATATAGAAACGTGTCAACGGTTCCAAAAATTAACTCGGTTCGGCCAAATTCTGTTCAGAAAAGTGATTTTCGAAACTGCTACAATAGCAAAAAAAACAGAACTAAATTTGTCCGAATTAAAAAAATACTCGCGTGAGTGGTTTCGAATGACCCAAGAAACTTGATTTTCATTAAAGAAAATCGGAAAAACTCAATACGGATCAAAAGTTAGAGCAAAAATACTAATTATGTCAACCTTTGCCATTTCACCAAGTATTGAGGTACTTTCTATCAAACTCAATCAAACTTGCTTCAAAAATGTTTTACAATGGCATTTGAGTCCATTAGAAATTAACTCAATTCATTTAAATGGCAAACAATAAATAATCAACCAAAAATTGATAAAAAAATTAGTTTATGTCAAGAATTAATAACTTGAGATCATATACAAAAAACGCATTTCAAATGCACAAAAATATCAATGTTTAACAACCAAATAATTTGAAACATAACAAAGCTTGAAACCAAGGATTAGACCTAAACTAAACTAATTGTTAGTTTATGTTACAACACTTAAATCAAAGAAATTAGTACCTAAACTAAATGTTAGTTTTAACTAAACCTTATGTCAAATTCTCCCTAAATCAAGAAATACAAACCAATTCTAGATTTAATTAACAAACTAGTTCAAGAATTAAGAACAACAGTATGAATTAAGTGTTATGCTATTCCTAAATCAATTATAGGCTTCTATGAGGAATTAATGCAAACACATAATGTGCATAAATCATGCTAAGTTTCTATCTCATACAATTGAATCAAGAACCTAATCTATTCTTAAGCCAAATTCAACCTAGACCTCTAATTCAATCTTAGAATTACATAAACTATGTTATCTAATCATAACTATGTCAATAAACACCTAATTGTACAATTCTACAACAATCAAACTCAAGAAACAAGAATTAATGGAGGTTAGTAGTGTTACCTCTTGAAGCAACACTTGAAAAAGGAAGAAGATGATAGATGATGGTGATGTCCATGGAAAAGGATGTCGCCGGAATCGTGAGGGAGTGATCGGCGGGAGAGAGCCGGAGCGGAGATGCGGAATTGCCATCGGAGGAAGAGGAGGGCGAGGCACACGGACGAAGGGATGAAGCACGATCGGAGGCCGGTGAGGGAGGTTGAGCGCACGGCGGTGGTGGTGGCCGGTGAGGAGGTCTGGCGATGATTGGTGAGGAGGGAGGTGCAAGGTTGTTGGAGCCTTTGTGCTTGAGAGAGAACAAGAATAGAGAGAAAAATGGAATTTTGAATAATGAGGCCTCCTTTTGAATTTTGGTGGCAAAAATAATATATAGTGTTGTTTAACAAATCAAAATTTTAACTTATTCTCCGCTTAAGTGAAAATTACACTGTGATCCGCGAATCTTTCCGAACGTGGGCCTCTTGTAAAAATATGTGCCTCTGAGTCACGAACGTCACCCAAAAAGAACGGATGCTTTCTGATAAAAATCGAGTGAGTTCGATACGTTTAAAAATTAATTAAGTTAAAATATCAGCTTATTTGACATTCGTCACTCGAACAAACCACGAGTTCGTGCCCAAAAATTTAGAATCTCATCTCGACTTTTCAAGAAGAAATATAGATCTCCGCATTCACGACATCGTATCAAAAATGACAACCATCTGATAAACGATGAATTTATTATGAATTTTCCAGTGGAGCGACGTCCAGTGTTTTTACCGGTTCGAAAAACTCTATTTTTGCAGAGTAAACCAATAACGGAGATCCTCGAGCTACCGTTTGATTTTGAGATCTAAATTAAAGTTAAAGTAGACAAAATTCTTGAGCCAACGCTTCGAGAACCGGTGTGATGCGGTAAAAATTGAGCGAGTTACGAATTTTTTAATATACAAGATCAAACTAACAGATTCCAGATTCTGCTTAATTATTTTCTCAGGAACTCGAAATTCCCACCACATTTCACGTAGAATCAACTCTTGGTCATAAAAGAAGGCGTCAAGATAACATCGAGACAAAATTTTGGGCACCGGAATCACGCTCATGCAGTACTTCAACTGAGAGTTATGAATTTTTACTGTGCATGAAACAACGGTTCAGTCACCTTTTATCGATATTATGTATTGTTTAACCTCTGACATATTTGCATATTCAGAGACCATCCCTCGAAAATCAGCCTTCGGCCCGAACACGGAAGTTATAGAGAATATCGAAGCGGATTTAATAGAAAGAACCACCTCGAAACGGTAAACCAAATCAGAATTATAAATTTCTGAATACCAGAAATACCGTTGATCGGTAACCTGAAAAATCAATAACAAAATTATTTGACCATCTTAGATGCACAATTGGCTCCTGGTCCGAACACAAAACATGAAGACAATATCCACACGGACCCTGTGACAAAATATCAGCTCCAAATGATACTCTGGCTTGGAGTTAGAAAATTCTGAAGCTTGTCGCGCCGAAACAGACTTTTAACCTGAACTATCTCAAATCAGACGAGAACTCCGACTCACATCTACCACTCGAGACATGATAGAATACATTGAGATTAGTCATGACAGAGAATCTTTATTCACCACCTGAATGTCTTGCATAAAACTCTGAGCACCTCTGATAACAATCGAACAGAAAATCCATGATCTCATAACAGCACGGCTAATAAGATAAAATAAAATCGAAATGAAGAGAGTAAATTTTTGGGTACAACACCACCCACCAGACAATTTCCCGTCGCTTCGCTCCACGCTCCGTGTCGCCGCTTCAGATTCAAACGACCTCTGTCATGACCGAGACCACACGACCTCCCCCGAAAACTGTCGATAAGACCGCGCGACAATCTCCGCGCACAGACCTCCAACGACGACCAGTTTGCCGCTGCGACGTCCGCCATGTGTTCCCCAACTCCGATTGATACCACCCTCTTTCCATTTTGATTCAGATATTGGTTAGTTTTCTTTTTTTGTTTTAATGGCAGGTTGTTTTAAGTATTTGAGAAGGATAGAATAGAGAGAGAATAGAAGAAAAGAAGTATGAAGAAATAGAGAAAGAAGAGTTCTGATGAGTTTTTTCCTCTCACGTGTTTTAACGTATTCTAAGATGTGTTATATGAATTTTTTATCAACATACCCTCTTTTTAGGAATTAAATCCCACTATACCATCTCACACACTCATATATCCTAATATACCCTCTTTTCAAACAAAACAAGTTTTTGCCACAACTCATCCGCCAATACAATGGGCGGATGAGTGTATATTTTTTGGGCTCCGCATCTGCATTGGGCGGATGCTTATAAAAAAAGAGAGGGTCCGCCCATTAGATGGACGGATGAGTGAGAAACGTGTTTTTTTTTTAATTACATTATAATTTAAATTCATATAATATACATTATAATTAAATAATATACATTATAAATTAAATTCATATAATTAAATAATATACATTATAAATTAAATTCATATAATTAAATAATATACATTATAATAAATTAAATTCATATAATTAAATAATATACATCATAAATTAAATTCATATAATTAAATAATATACATTATAAATTAAATTCATATAATTAAATAATATACATTATAAATTAAATTCATATAATTAAATAATATACATCATAAATTAAATTCATATAATTAAATAATATACATCATAAATTTAATTCATATAATTAAATAATATACATTATAAATTAAATTCATATAATTAAATAATATACATTATAAATTAAATTCATATAATAAAATAATATACATTATAATAAACTAAATTCATATAATTAAATAATATACATTATAAATTAAATTCATATAATTAAATAATATACATCATAAATTAAATTAATATAATTAAATAATATACATTATAAATTAAATTCATATAATTAAATAATATACATTATAAATTAAATTCATATAATTAAATAATATACATTATAATAAATTAAATTCATATAATTAAATAATATACATTATAATAAATTAAATTCATATAATTAAATAATATATATTATAATAAATTAAATTCATATAATTAAATAATATATATTATAAATTAAATGAAATACACTTTAATTAAACAAAATATACTATAAATAAACAAAAATTTAACTAAAGGACATAAATTAATTTTTTGCATTTTAACATATATAATCTCCCCATCACATCTACTGTCGATTTTGACCGGGTCGTGTCAATCGTTGGTGAGTTCCACAAGCAGGTGCTCGTCTAGTACGTTGGCCTGTTCTGCAATTTCCTTCTTCATTTTGTGGTTGAGTTGAAGTTGAAGGTCCCGCGTCACACCCGCCCATTAAAAATTCCTCAATCATGTCCTCATTGGTAAAGTCTGTCTCGGCTGCACTGCCATAACTTAATCTGGTTCCCTCCCAATTCCAATTTGGCATGGGATTAGAAGACATTGGGCTATTTATTAAGGGTTGGTAACAATCTTGGGAGGTAAATTGTTGTGGTCGGGGAATAGGCATTTGTTGTTGGGGTGTTTGATAGTTTGGATTTTGTGGGGTTTGTTAGGTTCCCCATTTGGTGGGGTTAGATGAAGGATATTGTTGTTGGGTGCCCCATTGGGTGGGGTTAGAGGAAGGATATTGTTGGTGGGTGCCCTAATGGATGGTGTTAGATGAAGGGTTTTGTTGTTGGGTGCCCCATTGGGTGGGGTTAGAAGAAGGGTTTTGTTGATGGTATTGTTGGCTTGGGGTAAAAGGTGGTTGTGTTGGGAAGAAAGGTTGTTGCGTAAAAGATGGTTATGTTGGGAAGAAAGGTTCTTGGTTGCTCATGAATGGTTGTTGGGTGTAAGTGCTTGATGATGGTCTGGTGTGTTGGACGTTTGAAGATGTTGGGAAATTACGAGGGTCATACAAGAAGTTGTTTGGTGACAGATACAAATTTGTAACAGACTTATACCATTCCATGTATTCCTTACTTGGTTTACATTCTTCTGACATGACATCTCCTTGTAAGACTTTATTTTCACGGTTATGCCATTAACGACGCTTCTGCTTGTAACAATCTTTCCAATTGCTATATGCCCATTGATCGTTCACCACACTTTTGTGATACTCCTCCATGCACTGTGGAGCATCCGGTATGCCTTGCTTAATGCCAAATTGAAGTTTTACCCGATCAGAATGGTGCATTTCAACAGTAGTAAAACATATGATAAATGTTTTCGCACTCCACACGTGACTATCGGTCGAATCGGTATCATCAAGTCCCAGATAGGGCCTCCATGTAAACTGTTAAAAAAATCAGTTATTAGTTTAACGAACCATATAAAATATGTAATACTTAAAATATGGTTAAGAATATTACATCAGATTCTTCAAAATGATCGATGAAAGTCCGATAGTCGGGTGCACAATGATGAGGAGTCTTTTCGTAATCCATCCCATAGGCAGACCATCTAAAAAATGTAATAGTTAAATATTGTTCACATAATAAATAAGTTTAAGACAAAGGAGTAGTTACAACTTACTTGGTTGCGTACGGAAAATGAAAAGGATTACGATTCCTAGGCGCTAGATTCGGCATCCTGGACCATCCCCAAGCTTGTATTAGTGTTGAACAACCACCAAAATTATGAACATCTTTTTTGGCGCATCTACAGAGGTTTCTGTATAGATGTGATAAAACTGTTGATCCCCAACTGTATCTACCTATTTTATTAAAGTCAGCTAGCAATGGTAAATACATCATATGTATTGTGTTACCATTTGTGTCAGGAAATAATAAACAAGCGAATAACAATAAAATATAAATTCTAGTTTTTTTATGAATTTGTTCTAAGGGGGAATCTTGGTTCAATTCAAATGCATCATATATTTCCCGGAGCCAAGTAATTTTGACGAATTGTCCCTTTCTATCTCTTTCGGGCAATTCTTCACCCAAGAGTTCTTGAGTTATGGAGTAGTCAACATTTGTTCTCCCATTGACTGCCAAACCGTTTACACGTAAACCCATCAACATGTGGACATCTTCAAGGGTGACTGTGGATTCACCGGTAGGAAGATGGAATGTGTGTGTCTCCGGACACCATCTTTCACATAAAGCAAGAATAAATTTCCTATCCACCCCATATGACGTTATGTTTAGAACGTGCCCAAAGCCCGCTTGCATCAGATATGGACGGATTATTTCGTCTACGCGCACATATGAGTGTGTACGAGGCCTAAATTTTTTCTCATTCTAAAAAAAAAAATAGTTAATATTAGAATATGGTTAATGTCAGAAGTATATGCTTAAAATTTAAAAAAAAAGTATACGTAAATATATTCAAGACTTACATATTGGAGGATGTTTGAAAATGTTCCTCGGTGCTCCTCTCCATAAGTTAACAGAGACATTATAGAAAATTGAGATTGGTGTAAAATTATGATGAGAAAGTATAGATAAAGATTGAGTATGATGTAAGTTTTGAAAAAATTAGTAGTATTTATAGAGAAATAATGTAGGGTTTTTATTCAAAAAATTTAATGGAAACCATAAAATGGTTGGGAGTAATTACTCTGCATGCATGTTGTGTACGTAGACTGGTGCTGCATGTACAGTTTTACAGGGTCCGCCTACTCAATGGGCGGAACCCTTTTAATTTTCTGACACGCCGCAGATTCAATGGGCGGACATGTTACTTTTTGTCTGCCATCCGCGCTTTGAATGGGAGGAAGCGTGCAATTAGGCCTGCCAAGGACGCAGGAGCAATGGGCAGAGCCTGTAGGAACATCAATGCGTCTGCCTACTCATTAGGCGGAACCCTTTCACACTTTAATGGCACCGCTTCTGCATTGGGCGGATGAGTTATTACAACATAAATTCAGTTTGACCACTAAATTTAATTCTTCCCGCGTTTATTTATTACACCATATCTACTAAACACAAAATCTATTTCATTTAAATACACTTCTACCTCCTACTTTTTTTCATCAAGCCAACCCATCTAAAAACCAAATTTCTCCTACAATTCAGATTTTATTCCCTAACAAATCAACATGTCTCAAATACCTCAATATATAGTAGATGCTCATTACAATGGAGAGATCATTATCTCTGATGAAATGGGCATTATATTCGAAAATATCGATATATGCCGGTTCAAATTAAGTAGAAATGCGAAATTTGAATGTTTGAGGGAGAGAATACAAACAAGGATGCAATCTGGAGTTGTCTCACAAATTATATATCGAAATGCTGTTAATTTCGGTGTTAACCAGGTGAAATATGTTCCACTGAAAATCCGAGATGATGATGATGTGGAAATGATGTTTTACAACCATGAATTATCTGGGTTACATGCGATAGATTTATACATAAAATTTCTACTTTCTCAACAATCTCAAATCTCACAAGTGGCCAATCCCAATGATGTTGAGCCCGTGTCCATAATTCCTGAGGAAGTCGTTGTTGAAGATGACGAAGAAGAGGAGACTGAGTCACAAGCTGATGATTTGTTCACTACTTTATTTGAAGACGGTGGACGTGACGAGGCGGATGCAATCAACGAAACTGAACAACACATTCCACTTGAGAATGTCTATTGTCCACCCGCCCACATGACAACTCTGGATACAGCTGGAGACGAATCATCCTTTCAATGGCCCAAAAATCCTCGTCTTCCGCTGGAGGATGACATAGCTGTTGGGAACCAGTTCAAAAACAAATCTGACTGTGTCTTTGCGATATCCAGGTACCATATGAAACATGTCGTTGATTTCAGGGTTACGTGTTCTGACACGAAGAGATATAAAATTTGTTGTAAGCGAAGTGGTTGCAACTTTCGTCTAGTGGCATCCTATAGGAAAAGGAGCGACCTTTGGGAGATAGGAATCATGGAGCCCCCACATAATTGTTCAACGACCATCTTTAATCAGGATCAT